AGTGCTAGCTTGTTTTCCGCTGCGAAGGTCAGCAGTAGTCTACCATTCTCGTTTAGCTCATCACGCCCGTGTATCCCTATGGCGCCCTCGTCTTCCCCATCCATCCTCTCTCCCGTCCGAGCATTGGCGTCCATCAGGATATACACGCACTCTTTGGAGGGAATCCTCCGCACGAGACTGTCAAGTTTTGAGACTGCTGTGGGTAAATTCCTGGGAAACACACTTTTCATGTTGGCGCAGGCCAAAACAGTGAGTTTAGAGCCGGAGACTATAGGAGTAATGCAGACACCTCCTATCTAAAACATCTCCGATCCTCTCGCATCACGAACTTCACCCTCGCCTTTTACTAGGATGAACCGTGCGGAGAGGATCCTGAAGGAGTTTCACTGATTTTTGACCCCACTCGTGGGGTAACCCGACCTCATCATGCACACATCCCAACCCAGCAACACAACATAAAAACCAAAACACAAACAACAACACATGAACGCACGACAGCAGGTCTTCTGTCAACCACGACCCGACAGATAGCCACCACCGACCCCCGGCGTGATACGTGACATACAAATCAAACACAGCACGAAGTTACCACCCTTTTTCTTTCTCAACATCATCATCACATTTAGCAAGCACACACACGATGACAGAAGGCCATATCATCATCACCCATGACCTCAAGATTTCTAGACAGCCACGGACCCATACGTGAAATACAGCAAAACACCGTAGAAGAAGCGACCAACCAACCCCACGCCGTGGGATACATGCATGCTCTATGCTGAGCACAGGCACACACACCGCCGGCGATTGATTGAGACGAGAGACGATGATTGATGTGGCGATGCACGAAGAAAGAGGAACGAAAAAGGAGGAACGTGATTTTGTGTCGGAAAAGTTCCGATTGGCGCAGCCCAAAAGGGTGAGTTTAGAGTTTGGTGACCAGACAGGACTATATAAGGCCGGTCGCGATCACACACAAGAGCGTACCTTCTCGGCCTTTTGGCTAAGATCATGTGTAGTATCTGTTCTAATCAGTGTGAAAACTTGTTGACGCTCAATGAGTGTCATTTTCACACCTGTTTTTGAAATCGCCGGGTTCGCGCTGCTTGCAGTGTTCCGGCAGGATTTCCTCGGCATTCCACTACCGCCTTGTGAGGTCCGTCCCCTCGGGGACACAACACAAACAAAACCCAACAAAACCCAAACCCAAACCCAACACACCCAACGACCCACACGCACCGATCATCGTGGACAACCAAGACAGGAAAAACACATATATGTATGTCCCCCTCATGTTCGCCACACTTGAGAAACACAACTAACAGCATACATGACACACGCGTGCACCGCGACACAGCCACCGCCACCAAAAGCTCTCTCACCACCCTGAAGAAAATGCCTATCATATTGTAGGATGAGACGGTTCGTTATTATTAGGATGTTTGTTTGTTTGGATCGTCTTGGCGCAGACCAAGTTGGTGAGTTTCTCGACCCAGGTGTGCTTGATTGATTGAGTTGAGGTCCGTCGTCCAGTCCTGTCCACAGCAGCAACAACCAAAACAAAACGAACACACCCAACCACCACACGCACACGCACCGATCGCGGACGGACACGAGGAACAACACCAGTGTCCCCTCCTCATCTTTGTACACATCAAACAACTGCTGTTGTACGCCGTGCCCTCTAACTGCTGCGTGTGTTTGTTGTCTGCGCGCGCGACAGCAAAACACGCACATTTTCACGAAAAAATTCAATTCACCAAGATGAGGGTTTTTGATCATGTTGGCGCAGACCAAAGTGGTGAGTTTTGAACCCTACACTATATAAGCAATCATCATATCCGTTCGATCTAGCATACTTACCTGGCGGGGGCTTGCCAGTGGTCAGGATGACTGGTGACCCCAGGGGGAGCAGGCTCTTGCACTGGGCTAGACCCTGGAGTGCTGTAATCCCTGGAGAATATTCCTTCGGGGGTATCTCTACCGCATAATTTTTTTCCGGGGAGGTGTTCGCTTGCGACCCTCCCACCAAACAAAACAAAACAACCACATACACACACAACAACACACAACAATACACAACAGAATAACAACACAGAACAGAATCGTTCTCACCATCATACTGCTGTTGTATGCATACAGTATACATACCGCTGTACGCGAGGACTCTGATGGAAAAAAGAAAATAGTGAGCATAGCTATATATACGTAGGGTGTCGCGGTCTTTACTTTTCTTTTTTTTTTTTGTTGTGTGGTGGTGGCTGGGTGTTTGTGTTACCCCACAAGGGGGATCAGAAATTGGTGGTGACCGTTAGATCTACCACACGGGATTGGAGTAGTTTTCAACTAGCAATAATCACGGATCAGCAGAGCTTCACTTCCAATGATATAGCCCTAGGAGCAGAGATGCTGGTGAGGTGGGGCGGGGAAGCTCTTTATATAACCTAGCGATCGCTAACGGGTTATTTGGTCTGCGCCAATTGCTTCCTAGGAACGTTTTTTTACGCTCTTCCCATATGGCCGGTTTTTACACGACACAGGCGTTCGTCCGCCCACGCTCATTGTCACGTGCACGCGACGAGCAAACCCCAAGTCTCTAGCAACTAGCACTCACCCTGTTGTTCACGAGTGCTGACAATTCACGGGCCGAGGTTGATATCTTATCTCTCTGTCTTGTGTCTCTTGAGCTGGTGTCTTGAGACGGGGCTGGCGATCTGGCCACCTTGGTTTGAAAGATGATACACAACAATAATAATGGGTCTCGATCTAATTTATTTATTTGGTTCTTATGGCACTACACGGCACTGATGGCATTGATGATAAAAGCAACAAGGGGGACTAGTGAGCGGTTGATACGTTCACGGTGGACAGGCTTCACTTTCTTCCTCGAGGAGATATTTTTTCTCAAAACTGGGCGTTAGGTAGACCACCGTCGTGACGAGTTGATGACGCAAGTTGATGATGAGTTGATCAGCCGTCACTGCTGTTGTTGTTGTTGTTGTTGTTGTTGTTGTTGTTGTTGCCTCTTCGGCGAATGAATGCAGGCTAGAAGACCACTGACGCTTCGACACCCGTCGGCCGACGCGCATCCGACTGGATCCGTGTTCCACGTTGGGGTGTATGTTCCTCATGTTATAGAGCCCTAGTGGAATGTGGCGACCAGTACGGAATGTCATGTGCTCCGCACGATCACGAGCACAGCAGTTAGTTATTAGTTGCATTATTTGAAGTTTGATATTATTATTATGCATGAATCCGCTCACTCACACACACGCGAAACAGCGAAAAAACAATAATATATATATCATCACTGCAATATATCCACGCACTAAATGCACTTCGTGTACATCCAAGTACGTCCGCAAAAGCTTGGACGTGCGTCTGGTTCGTTCATTATGTTCTCAAGGCACTCGTATACACAAAAACGTTGGGACTTGAGTGACTTCTCTAACCACCCACACACACCACAAACAAACATTGCCCCAACGCCATCGAAGCACTACTACTTGACACACGATTCGGCGGTAGAAGCACAACAACAACTAATCTAATCTAGAGAGTGTCTATACTACCTACCGTAGATAGTCTCTTACATCCAGTACACCAGGTAGGTCTACATGTTACGTGCATATTTATTTATACACCTGTCAGTCGTAGTAGTCACTTCTTTACCTTTCTTCCCTCTGAAAAAAAAAAGAGAGAACGGCAGCAACAAACACCCTGGCGATGTGGGCAGCGCGTTCATTCCATGCACATTCATTCACCACGTGCTCAACAACAAATGATGATAATCTGTTGTTGAGCACGTACTTGTGAATGTGAATCAGGCGGCCACGTCCCATACAGCAAGTCCTTCCTCCAAAATGGTTCCCCAGGTGGGGCGTGATTTTACTCATCTCTCCTTCGGTTTGATTTCGGTTTAAAATTATCATCGCCGGGTTGCGTTCGGCGGCGGGGGACGGCATTGCGTAACATGGAACCACACAGCGCCCACCAGGGGTCGCAAGGGTGACGTGATGAGACCATATTATTGTGTCCATTTAGTTAGGCCCACATGAAGTGGAAGTTCATGCAACACAGAAATCTCAGGTGATTCTGTACACACCCGCTCCGCGTGTGATGTGCTGGTGCGCGACTCGGTTTCAGAGAGGAGGACCGTCTCAAAATTCTTACAGCCGATTGGCCGCGCAACAGAAAACATTAACCGAAACGCCGAAGGCGTTACACAGGATGGTGACATGATTTCATGTGAACCGGCTGCATCTACTTTGTGAGTTTGTTCTGTGGACGAACAAGCGCTAACTTTTGGGGGGGACGTCCCAAACCATGGGGGCGACCTACAGTGTTTGTCTGCCAAACACACCTCTCCTTGTACGAAACACCGGCCGTGCAATGGAAACAAACCCCCCACCATCCAATGGGGTACCGCCGCAAGGAAAAAAATGCGAAGACGTACGCGCCCACAAAATGTTTGTGTTCAATCCTACTGTGTGTACATGATGGTGCGTACACAAAAACCCGTTCGAACTCGACACTTGCGTCCGTACCTACGCCGCATGTGCTTGTTGGTACGAAAGTCAAGCGCAACCATAGTTTTCTGTCGACACACTGACTGCTCGACATGCATGCTTGCTATCAAATATCATCGTGCGCCTCAACGGGGTTCTGCATTTACATCAAGACCGCCTTCGCGATGATACCACTATTCGTAACCCCAATGACCCTAACCCCCAACCTCCAACCAACCCAAACTCGTACCCCCTACTAAAAAATTAACCTTTGCATCCTCGAGAAGGTTACTGGCATTCAACCTGTTGTACACGGAGAAGCCGCTACGACTTTTGCTGTAGGCCCTCTGCCGTTGAAGGCAAATCCGTGAAAAATCAACTTCGTTCTTCAATTCGTTGAAGAAAACCAGTGGCAGGTGAGACTTCGGCGGTACTCCACAAGGAAGGACAACAAGTAGCCGAACCACTCCCACCTGGCTCAGAACCGTGATCAAGGGTATCACGCCGCCACAACAATCGTGCCCTACACCATGCAAGAGGAGTCCCGACGCGAGCAACAAGAGCTTTGCGCCCCGTCCTACATAGTACCCCCCAAAGAACTCAAGGCAACAACATCAGCACCCATTCCGAACAGTTAGCTCAAACGGAGCGGGTTCGGAATGAATGGTGGAGACACCATGCTGCTGCAAAATATCGGCTGACCATGTCGTGGATCATATTCCGCGTCGCTATGGCGGTGAATACCACGATTTTCTCCAAGACACACACTGCAGCTTCTCCAAAACTCTTTACTACTCCCGGCTCAGAAAATGGTTTTTCAGATCAAATCAGGAAAAGAGAGAATAACAAAGGAAAAGGGTGGTTCAGAAAATGCTCATGAGAAAAAATCAGGAAAGCGAGAACAAATAATGGAAACGGGTACCGCAATCCCCCTCCCACTCCACCTCGACAAGCAGGTCTAAAACCCTGGTCACCTGATGTAACCACTACATACAAGCAGCACAACACAAAGCTCTTCCGTATCACACGGCCGAACATGCGCGTCAAAACTGAAGCCCTTTTCAACACGCATCAACCCAAGCACGCTGAAACAATCGGGGACATGAAACAGAATATACACACGCGAAGAGGCTCTGTGCCCTCCATTCCATGCAACCCCACGCCACAACTTGCGGACGCGGTGTCTACGCGCGAAGGTTACACACGCACACTTCGCATGCATGCGTCGGGGACACACGTCCCGTCATCTACGTAGTGCTGAACCGCTCGACGTTCAGCAGCAGCAGCTGACGAACACCCAACCCAACTTACATACCCAAGAAAGCTGGCCCACGCTGGATTTTTTTCAGGATCTTCCATCTATGGCCGGTTATCCCAAACAGGTGTACGCAAATAGTCAGGAGGGGGGGGGGCGTGGGTCACATCACCTCCACGTTGTAAAAATCGACAGCATGCTGTGTTGTCTTGCTCCGGGTACGCCTTCAAGAGCCGCCGCCCGCTTCACAAATATCCCTTTTGTTCCAAAGTGCCTTCTCTCCCCCGAGAGAGCAGGCTGCAGCCATCCCAGCTTCAACCTCACCCCGTGCCGAAGCTCGCCAAGCCTGGAGCCATGGATACACGCATGTTTTACTGGCCACCGAAACGATCGTCGTCGTCGTCGGTCCCGTCCACGTTTACCTCGTAGACGGAGGTGAAGATCGACCACACAAGCCCGAGCATGATAGCGAGGATCGCGGCCTTCTTGGCCATATGCGACGCGCTGTTCGCTCCCTGTTGGTCGCGGGACAACAAGGTCGTTCTCGTTGTTACGTTCCGTTATATGCTCTCAAAATGGACACACGAACCCGGTTTTGGTCGGGCATCCGAGTGGCAGCAGCCCTTGCGTTTGCGTGGTGTGCTTCTTTTTTTTTTTTGGGGGGGGGGGGGGCGATGAGCGCGAGCACGATGGAGGATGTTTGTTTTCGTCGTGAAACCGAGAGGATGTATCAGCTGCTGGAGCAGGCTCGTTCATTTGCCTCAGGGCGAAACCGCGGCGAGGCGGGTGTGGGGCCACCACGCCCGGGGGTCGGCAGTGGGCATGGATGGGCAAGCGTAAAATTTAGCTCATGCACACCGCACGTCTTAACGCTACTGAACAACGCCCCCCCTCTAAGGACGGAAGCGCCATTCTCAGCTCCGCTAGGGGAACGGTACGCATAGCACCGTTGGTTCTCTCGCATATGCCGGTTTGGGTGTGCCGTGCAGGCTGATGGTACAACAATTTGCGAGGAGGACTTAGAAACCCAATCACCACGACCACAAAGCTGCTGGGATATTTAAACGTGGGCACAGAGCTAAGGATCGTTCCCACGATGCCAGGTGTACCACGACCACAGCGAGGCGGCGAAAATAAAACGCATAGATCCAAAGACTACACCGTGCATTCTTCGGCACCCCCCCGTTGTCGAGAAACCGATCGGGAGTGGGAAGCATGGTTGTGCTCTCTTCGAGTAACCAGCAGCAACATCGTCAAGATTTCTGAGCTTTCGTCACGTAGAGGGGGGCGCATGCATACATGTGCGTGCGTCGGAGGGGAGGGGGGGGGGGGGGGTACTCATAGTCGTGCATGCCGTAGTCGTTAGACCATTGACCTCGCATCCCTACGAAGCCGGGACGGAGCACGCCGGGTTCTCACCGGACCAGGCTCTCACATCACCAAGCGCGAAGTGCCGTGAGGTATTCGGTGAGTCGCATGAAGGGTGCGCTGCATCCTGCTAAGGGTGATCGGCATCTTGTGCTTACTTCCTTGCGTACGGGTGACAGCTACGAATGACTTTTATTTTCTGGTGCTTTCACTTCCACTGTAAGCACTGTGTAACTGCCTCGAGGGTGCATGACCAAGTAACACAACGTAGTGCGATCATCCCCTTTTTCGCGGAGGGTTCTCGACCCCGCACAACATGATCTACTCGACTACCATTATGGTCACCGCAAAAAACAAAAACAAAGAGGCGAAAAAAACCCCGGTAACCTGGTTGCCGAGCTCACGAAGTGATCGGCGTGTTTTACAACGTCGTTGCCAAGCGACGAAAACCCAACCCCGATGGCACACACCGGGGGGGGCGAGGGGGGGGCATCATTTGATGCTTGCCTTCGTTCTGGGACAACCGTTCACACATCCGTTTCGAGATGGCGGGCGGTTCCCACAGCAGCGTGCAAGTAAACACCGGCCAACCCAACGTGTATTAATAGGCGTTCCCGAAGATTTGTGCAAGTTGTTTCGAGGGCAATTCTTACGTGCCCACCTCGTTGTGCTCTGCGGCTTTTCGATATCCATCTACAGCAGTGCGGTGCGTGTACAGCAGTAACGGGGCAATCTACATTTACTTGTATCACCACGGCAGGCGAGGGCATTATTCTCATGCAGACAAGCTCACGGAAGTTGACGTGCACATCGACATACATACATATCTATCACTCTGGCAACGTTGTCTCACATCGAAGTCCCCCCTCCGCCACTTGCTGTCGACGCTGCAAGACATGCAGACGGCGAAGATCCCTATTGGCAGGCAGCAAAACAAGCTGTGAGACAGACACAGCGCGCACGAACGGACGAAGACGACGCCACGACATAGAGAGGAGGGCCAAGAATGTGACAAACGATGTTCAACACCAGGACCGAATTGCACCTAGTACGTGTCTCCCGCCCCAGCCCCTACCCTCTCTGTTTGTCTCTCTCTGCCTCTCCTGCCTTCTTCTCCCCCCCCTGCATGTGGCTGACTTCGAGGGTTGTGTTTCGCATCCACGATATGAGCGCCAGGCATGTGCCTGATTATATTGTCTGTTTTTATGATATTTCGTCGTTCTTTCTCCAGGTTCATTCGGTGTAGTTCTTTTTTTGTTGCAAGCATCACCGCGTGACATCAACTTCGTGCGGGTAGTCGTCGCGCAACAATAGCGTGGATAGGGGTCACGACAGGTTTTAACAAGACAGCAGCAGCAACAAACACATATAGGGACAAAAATAACCTAGCCTCCCCCATGACGCCCCCCCACGGGGTCCCAGATCATGGCCTTTAGAAGGGATAGTCAATGGTCTAACGACTACGACATGCACGACTATGAGTACACCCCCCCCCTCCCCGCCTTCCCAAACTCGATAATTCACAGCAATCACACACGCCTAAAATACTCTCTGGCGTGAAAAACAAAAAAACAGGTGCGAACGCTGGCGCTGACCACAATGATCGACGTCTCGGCCCAGCGTTCCGCTCGGGCGTCAGCCTCGAGAGTGGTTGCCCTCATAGTTTACTTTCAGCCGCACTGAGACCGCCGTCTTTGCATTGGTCAGCCCGTTAGCGCGGTTCATGACAACAACAAAAACACAAGCACCCATGCAGGAAAAAACAACAAAGCACATGGGCACATCAAAACACAGAGCAACAAACAGGCTAGGACTGGCAGCCAGCCGAACGATGCCAGCGACGAAAGGGGTGCAATTCAACAACCCACACTCCCCGCTGCAACCGACCATTCAAAACAACCCAGGCACAGCACCGGCGGTGTCCAAAACTGCCGCGGTTGTCTGCAGAGCAATTCCCACCCCTTACCTCCAATTCAATCTTGTTGCCTGAGCAAGGGCGGCGATGCAAGCAAGCTCTCATGAGCATGGCGGCTACTGTAACGGCGGCGACCCCGACAGGGGATAAACAATATGAGGAGCCGAGGCGTAGAATAACGCAACCGGCGCGTCTAGGCTGTTCCGCCGGAAAGGGGGGCGCTGGAGCAGCAGTCAGCCCGGGTGCGACCCGCCTCCTTCCTACGAAACCACGTGGTCATCAATACATTTTCAGCCTCGATGAGACATGACGGCCGATCGGAGCTAAGTCTGGAAGTACTATCCTCGTGCCCCCGATCGCAGAGCTGACACAACGGGCTGTGAGCTAGAGTACGAGTGCTAACAGTTGGGGGACGCGCCACCTTTTCGCTAGGAGTCTAACGATTGATCGTCCAACTGCTGCATTCAACCTTAGCCAGAGGTGAAGAGGTGACTCCTCTAGGTGATGTAGAAGAGTAGTTGTGGTTGTTCTCCCCCACAACACAGCATCGACCCTCCGCCCCCTAAACCACCTTTAACACTACGCACAAGCAAACGTGGTATTTAGGGCATAATGCATGCTCTTCCTGCTAAAAACGGTCGTTCGTTCGGTCACCTGAGCACGGAGATGCAGCAGTGGTTCGGCGGCGGGATCTGTGCTGCCCCTGCTCCACCAAAAACCAGCCAGAGCAAGGTGACGGAACCATGAACATGACATCGATGCGCGGACGGAGGGACGGGGGGGGGGCGGCGGGAGGGGGGGCGTACTCTCATGGTTTGCATGCCTTTTAGCGGCTAGACCATTGATCACTCGTCCTCCAAAAGATGGAGCATTGTTCCCAGGGGGGGGGGGGGCCAAAACCAATCCAAAAAACCCCCGTTTGAAAAATTTCCCCCTACCTTGAAAAACGTTCCCGGAAAAAAAAAAAAAAAAACCACCCACGGGGGGGGGGTAATTCCGGGAAATGCCTCCCG